TAGCATTACTTGGGATTTTCACTGTAAGCATCAAGTACTGTCTTAGCTTTAAAGTTTAATCTAGTATTAGAAGTGAAGTCATTTAAAAAAAAATCTAGACAGTGAGAGATACAATGTAATGTGAACTATGTTCAGTGAGAGTCTGGAAGTATTTTTATATTTGGCCATAGAATTTGGCAGTTTTGTTCATTTGCACATGGTTCTGTCTAATGTTCTGTACAACACAAATAAAACAATTAAGAGAAATGAAAAAGCTCTTCTACTTTGCTGTTTCATGCTACTACTTAATCCCTTTTCTTTCAAATATTTTCTGCCCTTCAATCCCTGTTAGAAAAGGCGATTGCGGCCAGGCGCGGTGACTCACGTCTGTAATCCCAGCACTTTGGGAAGCCAAGGCAGGTGGATCACCCGAGGTCAGGAGTTTGAGACCAGCCTGGCCAAAGTGGTGAAACTCTGTCTCTACTAAAAATACAAAAATTAGCTGGGCATGGTAGTGCACCTGTAATCCCAGCTACCCAGGAGTCTTAGGCAAGAGAAGTGCTTGAACCCGGGAGCCGGAGGTTGCAGTGAGCCAAGATTGCGCCATTGCACTTCAGCCTGGGTAACAAGAGAGAAACTGCATCACAAGTAAATAAATAAATAAAGGCGATTGCCTCCCAAACTGAGAGAAAACACCACAGGAGAAGTGAAAAGAGAAAGAATCTTCGATTTTTCTCTCCGCTTCTGCTCTGTTGCTAATAGAAATGATAATATAATAACATATCTTAATAAAGTAGGTGGCATCACTTTTAACTTGCTGGAAACAGCCATAATCAGAGTTAGAATTCAAAAGAGAAACAAGGAAAACTATTTTGCAAATTGCATGATAGAAAAATGATTACTATCTAGGATATATAAAGAGTTCCTATAAGTCCGTAAGAAAAATACAAATATCCCTGCAGAATAATGGGCTAATATAAGAATAAGGAATATTTTTAAAATGAACAGTAAGCATATAAAATATACTCAATTTCACCAAAATCAGAGAAATACAAATGAAAAAATGAAATTCCCAAGCCTCTCTCCCCTCTCTTCCTTGCCTAATATGGCAAAAATGGAAGAGCTGGATAATATCCCCTGTAAGGAAGAATTCACTGGGAAGCAGGAAGATACTTTTAAGGTCACTTGGAGGCCGGGCATGGTGGCTCACGCCTGTAATCCAAGCACTCTGGAGACCAAGGCGGGCAGATCACCTGAGGTTGGGAGTTCAGGACCAGCCTGACCAACATGGTGAAACCCCGTCTTTAAAAAAATAAAAATACAAATACAAATAAAAAAAAATAAAGTCACTTGGAGGGAATGTAAAATGGCAAAGACCTTTTAAAGATAATTTGACATAATCTATTAAAATTTTAAATGCATGGACTCTTTGAGCCTCTATTTATATATACTAGAGAAATATTCATTCAGAACATGAAAAGACATGAAAAAGCATGTTCCAAGATACTGCTTCTCTTTCTTCTGTTTCTTTCTTCCTATTGGAAAGGTATCAGTAGTAATGGTATCCATAGTAAATTGAGTAAATAGAAAACATCATATTCATCCTGTGTGGCTACATTTTGTTTATTTTTTAAACTGCTACATAGTATTCCCTGGGATGAGTATACTGTAATTTATTTCACTGCTTCCAAGTTGATGGAGATGTGTGTGTGTGAATGTACAGAAATGCATGAACATCTCCCAGGCATGGCAGTACATACCTCAAGTCCCAACTAATCCAGAGACTAAAGCAGGAGAATTGCTTGAGCCCAGGAGCTTGACGCTATTGTGCGCTACGATCATGCCTGTGAATAGCTACTGCACTCCAGCCTGGGCAACATAGTAAGACCTTGTCTCCAAAAACAATTTTTTTTTTTTTAATTTGAGAAAAAGGAAATGCATGAACATCAAACTTCTGAACGATAGTTATCTGTGGGAGATGAAGTGAGATTTGATGGGGAGCAGTTGTTAAAGAAGCTTTTCATTTTTTATTCCATTGGTGCCTGTTTGAAACTTCTTTTTCTGTTGTTTTTTTGGAGACAGAGTAGCCAAGAGTTGAGTGCAGTGGTGTGATCTTGGTTCACTGCAACTTCCATCTCCTGGGCGCACCCAACTTCCATCAGCTCAGCTTCCTAAGTAGCTGGGACTACGGGCATATGCCAGCTTTTTTTTAAAGACAGGGTCTCGCTGTGTTGCCCAGGCTAGTCTTGGTCTTGAACTGCTGGGCTCAGGCAGTCCTTCCGCCTTGGCCTCCCAAAGTGCTGGGACTACAGGCGTGAGCCACCTCGCCCAGCCCTGTTTGAAACTTTTAAGACAAAAACATATTTACACTTTGTGAAATTAAATTTTTGATAATAGGACT